TATGCTGTTTCGGAACAAAGTTCCTTGCTGCCTGTTGAGATGCAGCAAGTGGGGAGCGGTAGCTCAGTGCTCAAGTGCAAACCTTGCATGTTCGAGGCTCTGGACAGACACAGATGTGACGGTTCTGATGTGCTGGGTGCCTGGGTGATCTTTGTATTTTTTCCTATTTGTCCATGCTTTAATTTTTTGATAATAGACAGATTTTTATAATGGATGCTGAGGGGGCAATGTGGTTTGCTTAGAGCTGCACAGCTGGCCTCAGAACTGGGATTTAAATTTGAATACTCAAACTGTGCCCCAAGATTCTCACCAAGAATTTTTCCCTCTAAATCCTTCCTTCAGCTGCCTCATCCACCCTCTGTGCTAGCTGGGATCACAGCTCGAGATAGGCAGAGGTTGGCAGACCTGGAAGGGGTGGGACCTGGGTGTGATTTCCACTCCTGAGAATTCCAGCCCTGGGGAGACAGAGACACGAGAATCACCAGCTTAGCCAATCAGCAAGCCCCAGGACACAGTAAGAGACCTTTTGTCAAAAACCAAGATGCACAGCCTAGGAAATGTTACCCAAGGTTGACCTCTGGCCTGCACACGCAGGCACGCATGCACACACACAACTTTGGAGAATTCGCCTCAGCAGGTTGTTCACTTACATGAAGGAGACTGACACACAGACAGGGTAGCAAATCCTAATGCCACACACATCCAGACTAGAATTAGGACTCTGGACTCCCGGCCTAAGGCTCTAACTTTTGCTCTTGTGAAAAATTTAGCAGCCCTGAGCCTCTGTGCCTTCCTTGCACCGATCCTGTCTCCAAAGCCCCAGATCACGTGATTTAGAAGGGGCAGTCGACCGCGCCCTGTCACTACATGGACCTGGATTGTCCCTGGGTTTTTCCTCTCACCAGTTGTGTGACTTTGACAGTACCCTTCTGTGACTGTAGCCTCCTGAACATCATCTCCCACTGCCCAGCACTGAGGCTGCGCAGACTAAACATTCTCTCAGGGTAAATTCTTTGACGTAAAGGTTTCATTGTGACACTTGCCTAGGGCTTCTTTCTGGTCCACGGACTTTTCTCTCTTGGGCAAGGCCATCCTCCAGACCACCCCCTCCCTTACAAACCTGAGAAAGCAGAGGATAGAATAAAAAGTACCTAGGAAGCAGAAGAGTCAACAAACAGGATGAGTTTTGATGGTAGCAGATGCTGCCGGCTAAACCACAGTTCTCCTTCCCTAACCCACTAAATGATAGTCACACCCAAAGAGTAAGGCCCACAAAGAATGAACCTTAGACTCGAGGCCTTCATTCCCTGTACCCTTGGAATTCTGGGCGGAGGGGCGGGGTGCTGAGCTGTCCACATGACTGAATGCTCATCTAACCAATCAGGTGTGAGCAATTTCAACAGAGGCAAATCATGAAGTCTGCTCTAAAGTGCTCAGGAAAGGGAGAGAGCTCAGCCTCCAGAGGGATCAGGAAGGGAGAGGGCGGTGTAGACATGACATTTGCCACATTCAGCATCAAGCTGTGGTCCTTCCGCTCAGGGTGGGAATACTGAGTCTGAATGCTGTGCCTGCTCCTTGGGAGCAGGGTGAGGTCCTTGAACAGCATCCCAGGATGGTAAGGAAGAAGAGCCACCGGCCATGTTGTCTGACTTTCCCTCTGACTCCCTGTCTGGCTGGGAGACCTTACAAGCAGATTATGCGCCACTGCCTCCGTATTCCCAGCTGGGGAGATAGGTCACGGGCCATCTCCGTGGTGATTAGAAAAGAGAAATGCCTTCAATGGCCTTCCTGGTGCCACCTACTGGGGCTGCTTAGTCTGTGATGGCAGGATTTTAATTTCTGACCAGGAAAGGTAGCCACCTGGAGACTGACCCTCGGCTAGTAGTCCCAGGTCAATCAACATGGGGTGAGAAAGAGGTGAGCCAGAGAGATGCAGTGTCTTGTGGGTTCTGGGGCCTGCAGTGTGGCTCAGCATGGAAGGTGTCTGCTCCCAAGCCTGACAACCCAAGTATAATCCCAGGAACCCACGTGGTGAAATGAAGGGACTAACTCCCAATAGCTGTCATCTGACCTCCACATGTGTGCCATGGCACGCACGTGTGTGTGCACACACACTCATACACATAAATAAATAAAATAAAATAAAATTAAACAGTTCAGTCTCCCGCCATTAAGAGGTGGGGCAACTAATGTCTAGGAAGTTGGGGAGTCAACTAGATGAAAAGGAAGAGATACCGCTGCTTACATCCAGGACACGGGACCCCACACCCAGCACTTGGAATTCAGCATTTTAACTGACCTTCCCCGTGTTCTAATGATTCCCATTTCATCAGTGTTTTCATTTCACTCATGATGGACTTTGGGCTCCTAATGATCACATAGCAGATAAATCAGAAATAAGATTCAAGGGCAGGGCTAGGCATGCAGTCATACAAAAGTGCTTGCCTCCATCGTGCCGGCTCCTTGATTCATCCAAACATAATTAAGGGAGGGAGGGAGCATGGATGGATGAAGCTGACTGTTTCGCAGCCCATGCAGTAGACAATTTTACAAGTTGGGAGCCTCTTATCAGATCCCCAAGGCCCAGAGTGTTTCGGGTTTAGAAATTGCCCCCCCCAACTAGGCTTTGACCTATTTACATAAACATAACAAGATATCTTAAGATAGGACCCAGAGACTGAAGAGATGGCTCAGTCACTGTTAAGAGCACTGGCTGCTCTTCCAGAGGTTCTGAGTTCAATTCCCAGCAACCACATGGTGGCTCACAGCCATCTGTAATGAGATCTTGTGCACTCTTCTGGCCTGCAAGCAAACATGAAGACAGAACACTGTACACATAATAAATAAATCTTTTAAAAAGATAGGACCCAGATCTACTCATGAATTCATGTTTTCATATAGCCCAGAGGCAATTTTGTGCAATATTTTTGGTCACATGAGATTAGGTGTGGAATTTTCAACTCGTGGTGGCAGTTAAAATACTCTTGGATTTTGGAGTTTTCAGATTAGGGATACTCTGCCATTGTTCCCTTGGAGCAGGCATTTCTCTGGGTTAGACAAGACTGAGTCTCCAAAGGTGGATGGTGCAGTCAGTGGATAAGCAAGGGCTGCTATGGTGGGGGCACATCTGTCCCCATTGCTTGGGAGACTGAATCTGTCAGGACGATCATGAGTCGAGGGCAGCCTGAGATACACAGCAAGTTCCAGGCCAGCTATGGACTGCGCAGGGAGATCCTGTATCCGAAAGGAGAACATAAAGAAGCCTGGTGCTGGGTGCCAGCAGCCAGAGCTCCCGAGGACCAAATTCATCCTCCTCCGTCTGTCTGCCCCTGTGACACGGGATGGCGGCGCTTCTCTCTTAGCCCTGTGGAAGGACTATATACTAAAGGGATCTATTGGGATCTATTGCATGGAAGGCCCCAAGGTTGCCAGGCACATGGCAGAGGGCCTTGGGATGACAGCTCTGTCTTCTGCAGGTGGGCTCCTTCGGGAACGGCACAGTGCTTAGGAGCACCACGGATGTGGAGCTGGTGGTGTTCCTGAGCTGCTTCCACAGCTTCAAGCAAGAGGCTAAGCACCACCAGGCCGCGCTGAGACTGATCCAGAAAGAGATGTTCTATTGCCAAGACCTGCTGGACCTTGGGCTCAGTAACGTGAGAGTGACGGACGGAATCCCCAGAGGTCTCATCTTCACTATCCAGACAAGGGAGACCTGGGAGCCCATTACTGTCACCATCGTACCTGCCTACAGAGCCCTGGGTAAGGGGACAGAAGTCCTACATGCCCAGCCTGCCAACCTCAGGAGACTGTTACCCACTGCGTCTGGTGGTCACATGCATTCCTCCATCCTACCCATGTCCTGGGCTGGGGCTGAGCTGCCACAGTGTGCTCAAGACTCTCACACTCGGAGTTGGGAAACAGAAACTTACCACAGAGGCACACTGTGAACACACGGCAAACAGTGGGGAACAATGAGCTATGCGGGTAACCACCAGATAATGTTCAGGAAAGGACTTACCGTGGGAAGAATCTTCCGAGAGGTCTGAGACCCAGCCAGGGGAAGGACTCAGATCAGGAACTGAGTCCTTCCTACAAGACGCTTGCTGTGTCTGGACACGTACTTCATTCCCAGAAGCAGACCTGTGGCAAGGGCAGGACTAGGGGACACGCACTTCATTAGGGAATTAAAACAGAAAGGGGAAGGCACTAAATGCCTTACTCAGCCCTGGGGAACTCAAATGATTATTGTAGAGACCTCCTCCACCTCACTCACCTCCCCATTGCCCTGCAGAGTGTATCCATTAACTGAGGGCAGCCTCAGACTTAGGAGGCCAAGCCACCTACACCTGCTGTTTTGTCCGTGTTTGCTATCCACCATGTTTTACTCTGAGGCCAGTGACCCCAGTCTGATGTCCGTAAGCTTCATCATCCCGTGACAAAACATTCAGGACAAGCAACTTAAAAGGAGGCAAGCTGGGGCTGGGCTCATGGTGTCGGAGGCTTCAGCCACCGATCACGCACTTCTTCCTGTTGTTTCTGACCGACGCGCCAGGATAGCGTGGAGCAATGTATGGAGGAAGAGACTTGCTCATCCTCGAGGAAGGAGTGGTGGGAGGGAAGGAGCTATCTAGAAGTGTCTCTGTGTTCCTTTAAGAGGCGGTCCCAATGGCCTGACATCTTTCTGCTAGTCTCCACCCATCAAAGGGTCTGCTCCCACCCAACAGCACCTCAGATTGACAGCTAGACCTTTAACTCATGTGTCTTCAGGAAGACTTACTATCCAAACCAGGCCTGGAAAGATGGCTCGGTGCATCAGGGAGATTCTTGCAGAGGACCTAGTTTATGACCACATGGCAGCTCACAGCTACCTGAACCTCCAGCTCCCTAGAATTCAGCACCCTCTCCAGACCTCCCTGAGCACCCATGTGTGTTGTGCATGTACAAACTCATGCAGGCACACATGCACACATGTGGATATATAAAAAATACATAAATCCAAATTCAAACTCTGAAGAGTTTTGTATTGTGCGCCAACTCCCACTGATTACAGGATGTGCATCATCGCTCCATGAGTGTTAGAAGTGGGATCCAGCCTCGGGAAGGAAGTCATCACAGGGTGGCATGTGCTCGGTTCTCCCCTATGCATACTGGCAGATTCCAACCAATCTCCTAGAAAGAGATCTATTGACAAAACAGACATTAAGGAAAGCTGGAAGTGCTGGGTACATTGAGGGACAATCTGGAACACGGAGAGCGCAAAGCTGGCCCTCCAGGCTGGGTGTGCTGGAGAATGCCTTTCTTCCCAGCACTCAGGAGAGAGGATCAGGTGGATCGCTAAGGGTTTGAGGCCAGGCCAGTCTATGTAACAAGTCACCAAAGTAAAATTTAAAGAATGAAGGTTTTTGTTTGTTTGTTTGTTTTGCTTTTTAAAGAACCTCACCAGAAAAGTTCGGTGGTGATAGCACACGCTTTTAACCACAATACAATGCTTGGGAGGCAGAGGCAGGCAGATCTCTGTGACTTCGAGGCTAGCCTGGTTTATAGAGTGAGTTCCAGGACAGCTAGGGCTACACAGTGAAACTCTGTCCTGGAAAAAAAAAATCAGAGAGAGAGAGAAATGGGGCGTAGTGGGAGTGAGAATATGAATCTCACTGGAAAGACCTTCACTCAAGGTCTCAAGCCTCCCTGGACGCAGAATGACCAGGTCCTCCCCAAATGACTACTTGGCTCCCAAGGGCTTCCAGAGTCTTCACTTGGTCTCTGTTTCCACTCTTCTCAGGGCCTTCGTGTCCCAACTCTCAGCTACCTGATGAGGTCTATGTAAACCTGATCAAGGCTAATGGGTACCCTGGAAGTTTCTCTCCATCCTTCAGTGAGCTGCAGAGAAACTTCGTGAAGCATCGGCCAACTAAACTGAAGAGCTTCCTGCGGTTGGTCAAACACTGGTACCAGCAGGTCAGGGGGCTGCCAAGTTGGGGGGCCTCAAGAGCTTTCTGTGGCTGGTCAAACACTGGTACCAGAAGGTCAGGGGCTGCCAGGTTGGGGGGCCTCAAGAGAAAAAAAGGTTAGGGGAAGAGTGGGAGAAAGCTAGGATATAGCTGGCATTTTCTTTGGGCCACTAACCAGCTCCAAAATAAAGACACAGAGGCTTATTATTAATTATAAATGCTCGGCCTTAGCTTAGGCTTGTCCCACCAGCTCTATTAACTTAATTTAACCTGCTTCTATTCATCAATGTTTTGCCTCGGGGCTTTTTACCTTTTCTTTTCTTTCATTCCATATGTCCTACTTTCCTTCTTCCTCCGTTTCTGTCTGTCTGGCCCCTGGCATCTCCCTGTTGTCTGCTTTTCCTTCGAGCCTAAATTTCTTCTCCTACCGACCCTCCCTGTCTAGAAGTCCCACCTATACCTCCTCCCTTGCTATTGGTCATTCAGCTTTTTATTAAACCAGTTGGGTGCCTTAGGCAGGCACGGTAAAACAGCAGCACATCTCTATATAATTAAACAAAGGCAGCACATCTTTGCATAATTAAACAAATATTCTACAACACTGGGACATTTGCAGCCTACAGTTACGGCCACCTTTGGCTGACTCTGCTCCTGAGGTTTGTGAACAACAAACCCAACAAGTTCAAGACAAAGGAGTGGAAAGATGTCTTGAAATCCACTCACACTGTTCTGCTCCTCGGTGATGGTTGTTTGTGAGTGTCCTGGCCATCACCGAATGAACCAGCCTTGGTAACTAGACATCTGAGAAGTACCCAGCATATGTCAACGTAACCGGGTCTGTAGAGTTACCTAAACTGAGAAAGGAGGAATCAGAAACAGCTCCACCACACACACACACACACACACGTACTCATGGTAGTGGGAGTGGTCTTCTTGTAAAATAAAAATACATGAAGAGAAAGATGAGGCGTAATGGCACACACCTGTAACCACAGGACTCGGGAGACTGAAGCAAGAGGATCAGCCTGGACTATAGAGTGAGCGCCAGGCCAGGCTGGGCTACACAGTGAGATCCTGTCTCAAAAACACTCCCTAAATTTGCTATTCTGGCATAAGGAAAAGAGATTACCCGTGGATGGGTTATATCCTGATCAGTGTACTCATCTGTCATACACACACACACACACACACACACACACACACACACACACACACACATGTAGTTGGTTGTTTTTGGATTCTTTACTCTTTGGGGGGCCCGCCACTCAGCTCCCAAATAAATCACGCACATGGAGGCTTATTATTTCCTTTGTTTCCTTCTTTCTTTCTTTTTTTTTTTAGTTCATTTTTGGTTTTTCGAGACCGAGTTTCTCTGTATTTTTGGAGACTATCCTGGAACTAGCCCTTGTTGGCCTGAAACTCACAAAGATCCGCCTGCCTCTGCCTCCCAGGTGCTGGGATTAAAGGTGTGCACCACCACCACCCGGTGACTTATTATTTCTTATAAGTGCCCGGCCTTAGCTTGGCTTACGTCTCACCTGCTTTCTTAATTTAAATTATCCCATCTACCTTTTGCCTCTGGGCTTTTTCCTTTTCTTCTGTAATCTTCCTTTCACTCTTACTTCATGGCTGGCTGGGGAGTTGGGAGGGCTGGGAAACTCGGTGACTGGGGGGTCGGGGGGGTTGGGAAACTCGGTGGCTGGGGGGTTGGGGGTTTGGGGGTTGGTCCCTTCTTTCCTCACTCCTTGATCTCTCTTGCTTCCTTATCCCTCTTTTTCCTCCTCCTATTTTCTCTGCCTGCCAGACACGCCTATCTTTCTGCTGTCTTGCTACTGTCCGTTCAGCGCTTTATTCAATCAACCAGGTGTTTTAGGCAGGCACAGTAACACAGCTTCACAGAGTTAAACAAATGCAACAAGAATGCAACACATCTTTGCATCATTAAACAAGTGTTCCACGGCAGAATGTAACCCACATTAAGCTAATATTCCACAGCACCAAGTTCAGCAAGAGAGCCTGTCTCAAAATGTGCTGAGGACAGCGACTGAGGAAATACATCACGTTGACCTCTAGCCCCCACACCCATGCACATGTATTGTCACACACATATACATACTAAAAGGATTTCAAATACATCTGGTGAGATGTCTCAGTGGGCTAAGTGTGCTTGCCACACAGCCTGGGAGCTAGATTTAACCTGACCCCAGGAACCCATGTAAATTTTGAAGGAAAGAACTAGCTTCACAAAATTGAGTTCTGACCTCCATACCTGCAGCACATCATAGCATGCACACACACATACACAAGCATCACACACACATGCACACAAACACACATGCACACACACTCACACACATACATACACACATGCACACAGGAAGAACAAGAGATTCAAAAATAAATTATATTCCCCTAAAATTGAACTCAAATACAATTTGAAGTCTACTAACTTAGGCCCTTAATCCTAAAATGGGAAAACCAAGAACCAGAGAGGGAAAACGACTTGGCCAAGTCACACGGTTAATAGGTAGAACTAGAATTAGACTTTGCACTTTCTGACCTTGGACCTGATGCCCTCCTTACACTTAATCTTTGCATCCCTCTCCGTCTCTCCCCGCCTCTCTGCAGTATGTAAGAGACAAGTGCCCCCGGGCCAACCTGCCCCCTCTCTATGCCCTGGAACTACTGACTGTCTATGCATGGGAAGCGGGCACCCAGGAGGATGCTAACTTCAGACTGGATGAAGGGCTCGCCACTGTGATGGAGTTGCTGCAGGACTACGAGCTCATCTGCATCTACTGGACCAAGTACTACAGCCTGCAGAACCCAGTCATCGCGGACTTCGTCAGAAAGCAGCTCAAGAGAGAAAGGTACTGGGTCACTGCTCTCAGCAAGTCTGGCAGGAAGAGCAGAGAGGCTGGTGTAAGGGGTGGGCTGAGACAGCCTGTGGGATGCACGGGCTGCTCCCTCAGCATCCAGCAGATGGTGGGGGTCTTGGAGCCGCAGGCATGGAGCTCAGGGTGTGCGGTTGAGCCCAAGAGCTGCTTCACGGTCTATCACAGGGCTAGAGTCACCACTCGTGAGCCCCAAGCCCCAGGGAAGAAAAGTGTCGCTCTTACTTAGGGACATGGAGTCTGCCTCAGGCACTCCCCCCAAGGAGTCACGGAGGCCACCAGACTTTACTTAAGCCAGGAATGTTTAGTCATTCATTGTTTGCATACAGGAGGGACATCTTAGAGGCAGCTGAGCTGTCCCTGTTGAGGCAGTAGAGTTAGAACCCTAAGAACCTTCCCTATCAGCCATGAGACCTTAAGGTCTATGCCTCCATTCCTTCACCCCTAAAATGGGGGTGACAATAATAGTAAGAATAAGCCGTACAGAACTGTGGGGAGGGTTAAAAGAGGCTCACTTGGGTTCTGGCCCAGTGTTTCAAACGCAATCGATAAATGTTGGTGGTGTCACTGTTATCAAAGGCCGCTCAGCAAATTTGGCTGCAAGCTTGTGCAGCCTCTCATGACCTGAAGAGGCCTCCCCTGCCAGAGCGGACATCTGGTATTGCTCCAGGATGCATCCGGCAGCTTTATGCTCTCCAAAACTTCATCATCTCTATGCCCTTGCTTGCCGGTGGTATTGTGAGGCCCTCCTTGGCTGACAGCTCTGGGAGTGGCAGGAAAGGGCGGTGACTGAGAAGCCTCTCCCCAGTCTGGAAAGAGCCTGGGCATCCTTTCTTTGTGTTGCAGACCCATCATCCTGGACCCGGCAGACCCCACCCACAATGTGGCAGAAGGGTACAGATGGGACATAGTTTCTCAGCGGGCCAACCAGTGTCTGAAACAGGACTGTTGCTATGACAACAGGGACGTCCCAGTCCCCAGCTGGACTGTGAAGGTAATGGTTTCTCCCAGGACTGTTAGTGGCCTGGCAATCCGAACATTACACTACACAGTGTTGGCTCCCCCAGCTAGGGACCTGTGGAGAACAACTCTTCAGAGACCAGAAGCCTACGACACCACTCTCCAGCCAGCTATGAACTTGGGGCGTTCTATGACTTTCTAAACCTTGAGGTTTTAACTTTTACATCCTTACACTCTTCCCCTACTGGACTATCAGGTTCACACTCCTGATCACTGCTTGTGTGTGCTGAGTTCAGATAGCTCGAGTCAGTCAGCCTTCAGGAGCCAGAACTAGACGGGGGCTGGGCTGAGAGAGAGGAGGAAGCGTGGCATAACCTTGTCCTCAAGGAATGCATACAGCACCGTTAGAAGCAAGCTAGAGCAAGCTTACACAAACCTGCAAGACAGATTCCTGGAAGAGATGAGACTCTCCACAAATGAAAAGTGCTCAGACAAGCTGCACGTTGGTACACCTCTGACGCAGCAAAGAGCATACTAATCTCGCATTTACAGTTTGCGAAGTGCTTGTCCAGGGGCTGTCTCCAGGGACCCTCACAGACAATGCTGTACGAAGGTTGAACATTATCACCATCTTTACTCTTTGTTGCTGTAAGTACTGCTGAGGCTGCAGAGGTGTTAGATCAATAAATCAAGTTCACAGTGCTAATAATCAAGTTCACAGCAAAACCTACTAGCAAAGGCTCAGTTAGGACTTTAATGAGACTCTGGAAACAGACAGTAAACACTAGCTAGAATCACCAGGCAAGAGTCCCTGCAGGAACTCAAGCTGGAGATGAGCCTGAAGCACCAGACAGGATATAAATGCCGGTGAGATGGCTCCATGGGTAAGGCGGCTTGCGGCTAAGCCTGAGGCCCGACTTGAGTTCAATCCCTGGAGCCCACATGGTGGAAGAACAGAATTGACTCCTGAGAGTTGTCTGTCATCCACATGTACAGTCTCCACCCCCAATATCTATCTATCTATCTATCTATCTATCTATCTATCTATCTATCTATCTTTCTATCCATCCATCCATCCATCCATCCATCTTCCCAAGATACTCCAGGTTGAAGAGAAAAGAATAGGAGGGGGCTGAGCAGTGTATATGTGAGAACAAAAGGCTGCTGGTGGCAGAAACTAGAGCAGAGGCTCTAAAATAAGGCACAGACAGAAAACGAGGGGCTGCAGCCAAATAAACCAGTGGATAGGAGGAAAAGGGTATGCCTCTGGGGTTTGTTTACAAAACCAGGACTGTGTAGCCCTGACTTTGGTGGGGCTCTCTATATAGACCAGACTGGCCTCAAATTCACAGAGTTTTGCCCACCTCTGCCTCCAAAATTCTGGAATGAAAGGCTTATTTTCATTTTTGTTTGTGCCTCTGGGATTTTTGAAGCAAAAATCTTTGAAGCTTCATTGCATATCCCAGGATTCTCTCAAGCTCACAACTCCCCCCATTCTGAGTGCTGGAATGACACATTTGTCACCCCTTCCCACGCCCCGCTGGGCTGTAGGATTTTTTTTTTCTTGAAAGTTTTACAACCCCAGGCTTAGAGTCCTTTGAAACCCCCTGTGCCCTGTAGTGAGTCCTGAGCTCTACATGGGCGCAACCACTTTGTCTACCGAGTGGGAGGAGAACCAGATTCATGGGGCTGCAAATGTGCTCATGGGAGACGCCCAGCACAGAGCCTATAAACACAGAGCACTCCCTACACATTTGCTGATGATGACAATGACCAGGAAGCCGATTTTGCTATGACGAAGAAGAATCTACAAAGGGAATTAATAGATCATCAGACAGAAATGTGACCCTAACCTCATCTCCTCTCTTGCAGAGAGCACCAGATATCCAGGTGACCGTGGAGCAGTGGGGTCACCCGGATTTAATCCTCTGGGTGAACCCTTATGAACCCATAAAGAAGCTTAAAGAGAAAATCCGCCGGAGCCGGGGCTACTCG